ACTCAAGTATCAATCAGCAGATGAATGGTTAGACAAAACAGTATAAACATATAAAGGAATATTTGGACATAAAAGGATTTTTTTTTTTTTTGGTACCAGGGATCAAACTCAGGACCTTGAGCTTGCGAGGCAGGGATGGTGCCACTGAACTAAATCTCCGGCCCTGACCACCCCCTTCTGGCTGGTCTGTGTCCAAAGGCACTTTCACTTGGTGCATGAGAGGGTAGGGTCTTACCCTTGTGGGAGTCTTGTTGGGAGACAGTGTCTCCAGCCATGTGGCTGGAATTCATTCCTGCTTGGTATCTTCAGGTGGCAATGTACTTTCAGAGTATTGCTAAAATACAGTTATGCCTCCTCCTCCTCCTCCTTCCTCTTTCCCTCCCACTTCCCTTTCCTCTTCCTCCTCTTGGTTTTCTGCAGCTCTTTGTGTTTCTGCTTGGTACCCAAGCTTGTCCCAGCTTCCTGAAGACTTCTTCCTGAGTCTCTAGTGTCCCTTTTGTACTGTTTTGCTTAAAACTCCTAGAATTGGTTTCTATCACAGGTTGAGTATCTTATCCAAAATCTGTGGGACCAGAAGTGTTTTGGATTTTTGATTTTTCAGATCTTAGAATGTTTGTGTGCTGTATATATGCTGAGATGTCTCGAGGAGAGGAGTCAAGTCTAAACACAAAATTAATTCATATATACCTTATATACATAAGCTGAATCATTTTGTGCATGAAATAAAATTTAAAGGTGTGGAATTTTCCACTTGAAATGTCATGTTGATGTTCAAAAAGTTTCAGATTTTGTAGTATTTCCAATTTGGGATTTTCCTGTGAGGTATGCTCAACCTGTATCAGAAACTGAAAGTTTTCTAATCAGTCCACTATTATCATTCTTTATTGTATAGTTTTCATGGTAAGGATTTTTGATATGTTCTAAAATATAGTTCAAAACAATAGTGTGATATAGATCCTTTTATCACCATTGTGTCTAAAGAGATATAATTGCTTGTTGAATTATTAAGTGACAAAACCCAGGTCTGCCTGGCTTCAAAATCTGTGCATTTAACTATTTCACTCTCTATTCTATTAAAAAAATGTTGGGGGCCGGGGATTTAGCTCAGTGGTTTCGACACCTGCTGCGCAAGCACAAGGACCCGAGTTTGATCCCCGGTACCAAAAACAAAAAATGTTTAAAAATCTGTCTTACCACTTTGTACAATGTGGTATGTTAAATAAAAGTGTTCACCATGTATCTGACACACATTTCATCTTAACATCCAAATGAATTGCATAGGGCATAAGATATATGGATTAAAACATGAGTAACATTGCTTTTTCAGATCTAGAACAAGGTGTGACTTGGCCTAGTTTAGAACAGAGTTATGAATTTCTTTGATTCTTATACAAAGATGTAGTTATTTTAAAAATTACTTTCAATTCACAGTAGCATTCATAAGTAAATAAGCTATGTTGCTGGTGCCATTTACTGTTTGAAGCATTATCAACAACTAACATATGTTCCCAACACTTGGGAGGCTGAGGCCAGAAGATTGCCATGAGTTCAAGGCCAGCCTGAACTACATAGCAAGACCTTGTCTCAAAAAGGCAAAACACCTGGGCCAGGGAGTTAGCTCAGTGGTGCCATGCCTGCCTTGCAAGCACAAGGTCCTGAGTTCAATCCCTGGTACTCCCCCCAAAAAAGGGGGGGAAAGACAAACCCCACTAATACACATTCATTAGACTTCTCAACCCAACAAAGTCTCTCTATGTTGCTCAGGCTGGTCTTGACCTCCTAATCTCAAGAGATCATCCTACCTCAGCCTCCCTAAAGCTGGGAACACAGCCACCGCCCCGTCTTCAGGTAGCTTTTGTGATGCCCCAAGATCACACAGTTGGAGTCACCATGCTTCAAACTCTGTTTCATTGCCAGGGGTGCTGACTGATCCCTGTAATCCCTGCTCTGTAGGAGCCTGAGGCAAGAGGATTGCAAGTTCAAACCTAGCCTGGACAACTTAGCAAGACTCTGTCTCAAAAAATTTTTTAAAGGGCTGAGGATATAGCCCAGTGTCAAGGCCATGGGTTCAATCCCCAGTACTGCAAAAAGAAATGGAAAAAAAAAAACACCTCTTAGAATCCTAATTTTTTTATTGTGCTTGAGACTTTGAACACTAACTGACTATTAAGATTACTGGGGGGCTGGGATTTAGCTCAGTGGTTCTGGTGCCTGCCTCACAAGTGCAAGGTCCCAAGTTCGATCCTCGGTACCAAGAAAAAAAAAAAAGAAACAAATAAAAAAAGATTACTGGGGGCCGGGGATTTAGCTCAGTGGCACAATGCCTGCTTCACAAGCCCAAGATCCTGAGTTCAATCCCCGGTACCAAAAAAAGAAATTTACCTGGGAGCAGGCTGGGGATTTAGCTCAGTGGTGCCTCACAAGTGCAAAGTCCTGAGTTCAATCCCCCATAATGGAAAGAAAAAACGAGCACCATCAGGATTACCTGGGAGCTTTTTAAAAATGCCAAACCGGGCTGGGGGTGTAGCTCAGTAATAAAGGACATGTTTAGCATATGTGAGGCTCTGAGTTCAATTCACAGCATTACTCCCCCCGAAACAAATCCTTGACATTACTTATCCAGATAAAAGCAACCTTCCCAATTCGTCTCCCTACTGTCTTACTCAAATTCCTCCTCTATTCTGCCAGAATTCTTAAATAAACCTGCTCGTGTGACTCTTACCTACATATGTTGGACAACTACTCTAGGATAATTTTAACTCTTGAGTTGGCTTTCGCAATCTGGCCTGAAATTATTTTTGCCAGTTGATCTTTGCTTGTTATCTCTGACCTTAAACTTTATCCACACTGTATATCCCAAACACAAACATACTATAATCTTATACATCTGTGCTTTTACATAAGTTAGTCCCTTGGCCTAGAGGATCTGTGTGTAAAATAGCATTATACCATACATTTTCTAGCTTTTTTTTTTTGATACTGGAGATTGAACTTGGTGATAGAACTACAGAGCTAAATCCCTCGCCCTGTACTATACATTTTTATATAGTATTAGCATCTTATAAACTTTCCATATCATTAAATTTTTTTCTTCAAAATTAAGATTACTGCATGGTATTCCCTTTTACGTGTGTCATTTGGTGTAGTTTCTAATTTTCTTCTCTATAAACTTTGCTTTATTTTATTTTTTTATGGTGCTAGTAATTGAACCCAG